TTGTGTTATGTTATATTTTTAGTGTTTGGCTGCTGGCTCCATCATCATGAATAGGGAGATTGAGAGTATAGCCATGAGGCCCCTAGCTAAGGATCTGACACGCAGCCTGGAGGAGGTCCGCAACATCACCAGAGACCAGGCTCTTAGGGACCTCAACTTCTACACTGACCGCATGAAGGACGCATTGCGTCATTTTGACAGCCTTTTTGCTGAGTTTGAACTTAGGTAAACTATGTCAGATTCCACTTGATTCAAATGCTTATAAAATCTTTCTTTGCTATAACAATTAAATGAACACTATGTTATTTTGAACAGTTATGTGTCAGCCATGGTGCCTGTGAAGTCTCCCAAAGAATACTATGTACAGCAGGAGGTGATTGTCCTTTTCTGTGAGACTGTCGAGAGGTAAGTACTGCACATTGTTAGGGGGAAAGAAAGAAGTGTTCAGAAGTGAAGAGTGTGTTTTCTTTTAGGGCCTTAAAGCTGGGCTATCTCACACAAGACATGATCGATGACTATGAACCTGCTCTGATGTTTACTATTCCCAGACTAGCTATCGTGTGGTAAGAGTCCACTTCAGGTTGTGTCTGTACCACCTTTTCCCACACACTAATAGACCTTTGCATTCTTCTAGTGGCCTGGTTGTGTACTCAGAGGGACCTTTGAACTTAGACCGGAAATCGGAGGACATGTCTGAACTCTTTAGACCATTTCGCACTTTACTGAAGAAAATCAGGTACAGCTGGGAAAAGTGAAAGGCTGATTATTTAAAATAAGGTAAGGAAAGGTAACATGTATGGTACTGTTGTTACAGAGACCTACTGCAGACACTGAGTGAGGAGGAGCTGATGACCCTGGAGAGAAACCTGTGCATTTCTCAGGATGGAGAGCTGCCCATGGGCCAGGGCTTGGCTGCTAACACCACACCGGCTCCTAGTCAGGATACTCTGACCAGTAATGAGAGCTCAGAGGGGGGCTGTAAATGTGAGCCAGATGACCCACCTGTGTTTGTGTGTGCGGGCCAAGAGCTGGCTCAGGTGGAGCGGGGCTGGGAGGAGAGTGAGAGCTCAGAGCCAGAACAGGGGCTGCTGTGTGAGGAGGCTGAAGAGGCAGAGCTGGCCTGCTCCATGCAATATGACGAGGAGGAGCTAGAGCAGCTCAATATGATGGTGCACCGTGTGGGAGACGAGATGTCCACCCTACTGTCCCCTCCCAGTCAGGACCAGTCCCCAGCTCATCAGCCCCACAGAGAGGCAGGTGGCAGTGGCTCCAGCACAAATGCATCCCCCCATAGGCTTCTGCCATGCCGAGATAGGACTGCTCGTCATTTAGAAGAAGAGGACAGAGTTTTCTTTATGGAGGATCTGGATGCTGCCCTTTCCCGAGAGTGTGTTTGTGTGGCTTCAACCTCCCCTGCCCTCCCTCCTGGGCCCCCACAACACAAGCCTGTACAGGTAAAAGGTCCAGTGGGGAATGGCTGTCACTCTGTCTCAGAGCAGCCCAACAGCCACATTTCCCATGGACTTTGTGTAAAACCTCCTCCCTCTGTCCCTGGCTCCGAGCCTCCGCCCTACACCAATGGCTGGGAGCTGGAGGGCTGTGTGCCTGAGACCGCAGAGGTCATCGCTCACCGCATGGGAGGCATGAAGCTGTCTGCCACAGTCATCTTCAACCCTCGCTCTCCCAGTCTGACGGAGCTAGCTGTGGACAAGTTCCTGCCTAGACCCACTTCCTCTGATGTGAACGCCTGTGGCCCCCTGGTGGCCACTCACTGCCTCCTGAACTCTTGTGTGTGCTGTGGCAGCTGTGAGGACCATGAAGACCCCATCAGCTCAGACAGCTCTGGGCTGGGCCTTGGTCTTGCTCTTGGATTAGACAAACACTGTAAAACCTCAGCAGTGGCTTCTAATGCGGTCATCCAGTCGTCTGCTTGCAGAGTGCCTCCTCGGTCGTGCAAGCCTCACTGTAAACCTGGGAGGGTCCCACTGACCCCACAGCCTACACACTGCTCTGAGGGGCTTCTGGAAGAAGAGGGACCCCTCTGTGATAAGTGCCTGCTGGTGCTGCAGGACTGCGATGGGGGCCAGTCCAAGCAACAACTCAGAACTGAGCGGAAAGTGGGAGCCAGTGGAGACCGAGAAATGGAGAAGGAGACAGAGACAGAAAGAGGAGTGAGCAAAGAGCCCAGAAGAGACGCTAAGGAGCAGTGCCGGAAGAGCAGGTGCGTTACTGAATTCTACAAAATTCTCTTTTACCCTTGTGTTTCTTGTTTTCATTTTATTAAGTTATCCATCCTCATCAGCCTTTTGGTTTTGTAGTTTTCAGCAGTCTCCCCTCAGCTCAGTGTCTGGTAGTGACTGTGAGAGTGTGTCCGTCACCTCTTGTAGTCTGTCCAGCAGTGTCTACAGTCCCAGGTAACTCCTGCCCCTGACTGCGCTCTTAATGCCTCACCCATCTGCTTTATCTGTTGGACTCACCTTCTGGAATTTGATAATTTCATGATTTCAGATGGAACGCAGGGTTTATCCAACTATGGGACATGTACTGTTTTTGAAAAAAAATTCTAAATCTATAAATGTTGAATCATTATTTGTTAGAGATTGTGGTTGACACCATTTTCTGAAGCTACTGCAAACAAAACAACTACTGTTGTGATGAGATATTAGGCTCATCAGAGCCAACTAGCCCAGAGATATTAATTATAAACCAGATGAACAAATCTGACTTGATAAGTGTGATCAAAAATACCATAGCATTTTGACCTTTCCTTTACTATAATTTTAAACTATAACCATAGTGGGGATGTCAAAAGTATCAGAAGTCTGATATGAATCGATACTCAAACTAGTATAGAAACTAGATACTTATTAGAACAAATATCAGTAGTAAAAAATTAATTCACAGGACCGAAATGAACCTTTCCTGGATGTCTTTAGACTGATCTTGAGCTGTATAAGTATAAGAGCACATATACGCCCTTGGACCAATATGAAACCTTAACTGAGCGATTGAGGGATTTCAGAGATATAAGACCAGATGGTAATATAAAAGAAAGTACTATTATTTGTAGTAGTAGTACAATAAGACAATAGTGCTCATGTCAAAAAGCTGTATTTTTTTATCATTATATCACAATCGGTATTCCTAGTTTGAATTTTTAGTATTGTGACAACACTACATTGTACAATATTATGATGTCAGATGAATCCAACCAAGGGAGCTCAACCTCAGTCTTCAGGTAAAATTTCTATACATTTTTCCCATAGACTTTTCAAAAATCGAATTATCCAGACTTTAATAGCATTGCGGAGGCTAATCAGCTATGTGGTAACTAAAATCCATAGCACTGTTTGTTTTAAGTCCAAAAAGCATGTTTGAAACGCAAGATTCTGTGAAAGGTTTTTAGTAACTTGGTAGTTATAAGAAGTTTCAGAAACAGATTTTACATAAAATTATAGGTCTTGTGGTCATTAGTTACCACATAGCAGATTAGCCCTGAGTAAGCTATTAGTTATTTAATAGACATTTTTTGGGAAAGTCTTTTGAAAAAATGAATGGGAATTTTACTTTCAGAACCAGTGACAGTCACTGCTCAGCTCCCTTGGTGTGTGTGTGTGTGTTGAATGATGGGTTTTCCCTTCTCTATAATGATTAATTTACATCCATCCTGCATCAGCATGAATAACGCCACACATTCAGGGTGTGTTTTCATTTCTTAATGTCATGCTTTCTTTCATAACATAATGTGTTCAAAGTTCAGCAGTTTGTAAATACAGGCTGTACTTCACAGACTTCCCATAGCTCACTAACCTTTGTGTTCTGACTCCTCAGCCCTGTGAGCAGCCTCACCCTGAGTTCGACCACCTCTGAAGACGCTGACCACGATGACACCCCACTGACCTCACTGCCTCTGCACAGCACCAAAGTGGCAGCTAGGAACAAGATCCGCTCCCGCTTCCACAGTAGCAGTGACCTTATCCATCGGCTATTTGTCTGTATATCAGGTACTCATCACCTTGCCATTTAATATACCAGTGTGTGGGATTTTCGTTTATATTACTGTGATGTGTGTTACAGGGGTGGCTGATCAGCTGCAGACGAACTATGCGAGTGACCTTCGTAGTATCCTAAAAACTCTTTTTGAAGTCATGGCCACTAAAAGTGAAGAAGGAGATGACAGCAAACAAAAAGGTCACTTTTTTCGCTAATCATGAATCCTATACTCAAGATTTTTGGATTACATCTATTATTAACATTACCATGTTTTTGATTTTCATTTGTCCTATCAGGTCCAGTTCTGCGTAGTGCTGTGCTGGAGGACTGTGCTCTGTGTCAAGAGAGCGTTTCATCATCTGAACTGGCAGCAAAGGCTAAAGATGGTCAGTTTGAAGGTCAGCACATTCTTACATACACTTATGGCCGGATCCTGTCCAAACAGAATCCTTATTTATAAATATATATTTTGTGTCTAGATCCTCCAGATTGGGTTCCAGATGAAGCATGTAACTCATGCATTGCATGTAAAGCCCCATTCACTGTCATCAGAAGAAAACATCACTGCAGAAGTTGTGGAAAGGTACTCTTAAACCTCTTCATCAGTCTAATGAAATCTTTGTAAAACCATATAGGGAACACTGGCTAATCATACATGATGTCATTGCAGATCTTCTGTTCTCGTTGTTCCTCCCATTCCGCTCCTTTGCCCAGATATGGCCAAGTCAAGCCTGTGAGAGTGTGCACGCACTGTTATATGTTTCACGTCACTCCCTTCTACAGTGATAAGGCTGGCATCTGACCCACCATCAGCACAAACACTGCAGCAAGCAAATATGCAAAGAGCAACAGGCCCTGCTCGAGAACATGGGCTATTGCTCCTGCTGACTTAGGAGTGATGCAGTTAAGACTGTCTTAGATAGACGGAGGATAAGAGCAGTCACTGTTACTTCTGAGAAGGTGGTGCAGTAACAGCCCGTGGCCTTCTGATTCAGGAGAAACTTAGAATGCAAGATGGAATGCATTTGAGTGTATAAAGCTTGTCACATTTGTAGTTTTGGGAGCTTCCTACATTTTTACCAGAGATTCCATAAATCATTGCTTTAATCCGAAGAATGTATATTGACAGGCCTGACAATAACAATCCTGCTCACCCCAGTGTCAACAGTTGCTTTCTCATAATGAGATTGGCCTTCAGAGGTCACTCTACTTGAGTGAGGTTTTATTTTTATTACAATATCCTTATTCTCTGCATTATTGAATGTTCTTCTCTATTACTTAAACTGGGCAGTGGATGCCAGCAGCAGGCGTCTCAGAAGAATCCCCCTGGGCTTTGGCCAGTGCTGTTTTAGGCATTTGGTCCAGGGGCGTTGAGGGCGAGCTCAGAGCACAGAGGCCTTCTCAAGTGGAGTCTGCAAAGACCACACCACACTCCAGTCCTCTTCACTATGTGCAATACTGCTACTACTGCACTGACTCTGTCCAGGGCACGAGTCTGCTATTCATGCTAAGCTGAGGTTATTTGTGTTTACACTAAATCCTTTCTTTAATGGTACTGGATCCTATTTATATTATTTATATTGTCATAAGCTCTTTCCTCTGCTCCCCAGTCTTATTACTTGTCTCATTACATGTGTAATAGGACACAGAACACCCTCCACTTCTCAGGATCACACCTGTCACATCCCTAATACACCCAGTCAATCCTATTTTTCAATGAATGTGGGTTAAGTTAAACTGTAAAACATATCATGCAGTAGGTGATGCACACTGCTCTCTCAAAATCAATCTTATTTTGTAATCAGACATACACAGATTATGTTCTATCAGTTTGTATGTAAATAAATTGCTTTTTACTGACCTGGCTGACCTCTTTGGTGATTCTATGTAATAAAAGTATTTGTTTAAAACGTTTTCTCTTCTATTTCTTAATGCGCAGGATGGAACTGTATGAAAATTATACGATTTTAATGAGATCTCTGCTACACAAACACCATATGATAGCTCAGATGCAACTGTTTAAATTCTCCTCTTGTGGTACAGTTGCCTTTAGGTGGCACCACATGTCTGTCATTTCACTGGTCATGTACAGTCGGAGACTCACGGAGCTCCTGTTGCCTTTTGTGTCCACAGGATGGCGCACAGCGCAACATATAGTCACATGACACGCTGCTGCACGCAGCTCAATCCAATAAAGATTAAACATGCGTTGATTAATTTTTGGTGGAGGCTGCGCCGCGGTCTTCCTCTGTTTCATATCTCTATGGATACAACCAGGAGGCACCACCAGGCCAAGTTACAGGTCTGATTTATGGGCAGGCGAGCCTGCTTACAGTCACAATGCAGAATTCAAATTAAAACTTGAAAAACAATGAACAATTGAAATAATGATAGAAAGAGAACTTTAATGCTATAGTGTGGAATATTCTAGGCTGTGACACCTTCATGGAAACAAGTAGCTAGCAGCTGTCCATCCACTTCCAGAAAAGTTACACAGTACAGCTTTAAAAATAGGCATTCTTTTTAAAGCAGGGAGCTGAAATACAGCAGATCTGGTTTGTGTGTGCGTGATTGGCGCAGAGGTGAGCGCCGCGCTGTGATTGGTCCGCCCGTGAGCGCTGATGTTGCCGCTTGTGTTTGCGGCGCTGGAGCAGGGCAGAGCAGAGGAGAGCGAAACATCGAAGTTCCAGCATGATAACCTCCTCTACACTTTTACACTTTGAACTGGTAAGTTCTCTCTTAACAAAGAAAGACTGTTTTTAACTCAGGGAGAGATCAACTGTGATCAAAAAAGCTTTTTGATGCACCATGAGGAGGGAAAGCGCTCGTGGCAAGAAGCTGACAGAAGAGTAACTTACAACTCACAACAATTTGTTGAGGTAAGGTTGGTTACATATAGACTAGTTATTTTGAGTATTATTATAGCTATGGCCTACTCTGGATACGCATGCTAGCTTTGGAATTGTGAGACATGATATGTCTAAAGAAGACCAAATTATCCCACACAAATGTCTAATATTAGGCTATACCCGCAACATAAGTTTCAAAGTTGATAGAAATGTAAGTAATCAGCTGAAACAAAGTCCCTTTCAGTTTTAAATCTTTGTAAATTGTACCTGGAATTTCAATGTTTTGTTTCCTTTTTCAGCATTGGGAGAGATGTTATTGGTCAGGATGTGCATCTTGAAGACTGCCCTCATTATTTCTGTGGCTGTTATACTTTCGGACTGTGCCAGAGGTAAGTGCTTCATTGTTTTTATGTGAACTGTGTTTGGATAGCATGAAACTACAAATGTGTGACTAGCGTTTGACTACTACGCTATTTCACAGAGGGCAGAAAAATGTGGGACAGCCTCTACCCCCAGATCCAGGAAGTTAGAGCAAACAAACACCATCCTTCAGCTATGGGCTCCAGCACTCTCAAATAGCCTACTATGTCAACAAATCAGTGCATTACTTAACCAGCAAACAAACAAACATATAGGCTGTCATTTGGACTGAAAAGTAACAGAAAAACAAGCAAACGCCATCCTACCATTGGTACTGTGTGAATTAAAGGTGGGAGAAATATATGTTTATCAGTCAATCAAAATATAGAGAACGTGCCATTTTGGAACACAAATAGCAGATTAAAAATAAAACTAAATTTCAGTGCAAACTTTCTAATAAGGGTGTCTGCAATTTAGTGTGATACTTAAACCTCAGCCAAGACGTTTTCAGGCAGTTTAGCACATTTCAAAATGCTTCCCATTATTATTATTATTATTTATTCTTTTGGGTTATTTCTGTCCATATTGGTTATTTCTACTGTTAATGCATTGTTGACATGATTTAATTTCTCTTCACTTGTTTAATTGACTGCAGTCCTGTGGTTTATGTGTTGTCTTGTTGGTCTCATGTAGATGGTGTAGCAGGTTAACGTGTTGCTCTGGCCATAGTCACTGTATTCAGATATGAATAGTGTGGAGAACCCAAGCCCACTGTTTTATGGCTTCAGCAGTTGAATTGCATCCCAGTCCTGAAGTGTGACATTATAAAACATTAAAGTCGCAGTGGTGTAAGAGGTTCAGTGGGTGCCCTCTAACCAGAGTTAGACGATGCTGCTCTACTCAGATGTGTCCATGCTGTCCTTTGGTGCCTTTGTGATAAACATTTAACTCACATTGCCTACTTCTTCTACAATATTAGTCTGGTTGGGACAGGCAGGGCATCCAGCATAAAGCCACTATTCGTTCAAGTTGCATCAAAGTGAATAATCTTTTTGTGAAGTGTCCAATCCTGTGGCTTGCTGAAAAAGTTTTAGTTCAACCACTTCTGGCCTGGCAGCATGCCTTGGGCCTAGCAAACGAAGAGGAAACATTAGTACGTTTTCATTGTTTTAATTAGAAACAGCCTCCTGCGTTCTGTGGTCTTAACTCGCATCTGGAGAAATTTAGAGCATGCAAATTGTTCTTGTGGAAATATATGTTTATAGTGGAGTTACATCACGCACAGAGAGGTACTAGGTGAGTATATGTGCCGAACAATATGGTTGCATATGTGCCATGGCCAGACCCAGAAGCCTGACTTTGAACTGGAGGAAGTTCGCAGAGTTAATGTGCTGTCATTAAAACAAGACATGAGTCGACCTTTGACCCTGCCGTCTGCCGGGCCTGTGCAGAGCCCCTCTTCGCTGGGTCTGGTCCATTTGGGGAGAACAATGACTGGATTATGTGTGCGTACTTGAGGTGGGCCAGGGCCGTAACTTATGTTAGCACTCAGCCATGCACACTCAGTTCGGACTCTAACCAGAGCTGTTCAGAGTTACACAGGAAACAAACCCCTCTCCTCCTGGAAACTCCAACTGAATCGAAATGTCTCCGAAAACATGCACACGTAACGGATGAACAGAAAGACCTCTGCGTGGACAAGTCAAATATTATTGATATGCGGCATATTAAATTCACTTTACAGTCTACCTTGTAAACATCTTAACCATGGTTCAGTTTTACTACTCATTCCCGTAAAGTTGAAATTATAGCTTTTTACAGTTTATGGTATTTATTACATGATGTTCACACATGATTTGGTCGTGGATTGAGCTCAGTTTAGTCTTGTTATAGACTTTGTGTGGTCCTGAAGTTATGATATAGTTTTATAATAAAGTATAGCCTCATTGCCCACCTCATTAGCACTTTAACCAAATGTTATATTTAATGCGCATCTTGTTCAAAGCTTGTGTGTGGTTAGAAGATGAAGTGTCTTGTGCAGCCTCAGACAGTCTGAGGATCCTTAGGCCAGGACAGGAGTCATGTTTACTCTGGCTGCTCGTAAAGCCCTCATTGACTGACTTTAATGGGCTTTTCAATTACCATCCCTGCTCTGTTTGTCCACCGCAGCTGTATGCTAATGCCAGAGGAGCACACACTCACTCTGATATTTAGCCTCTGTGTACAATGAGACTGTTTAGTCATTTGGCTGGTGCTGTGTTTTCAGACCACACACACACACACACTTCCTGCTGTTCACTGGATTTGGGTCAAGTTGAATAGAATTCTTCTGTCCCTGTTAACTTTCCAAAATTCTCACAAAGTGCAGGCAGAGGAGTCAGCAGGGTCCATTGAAATGATAATCTCCATTGGATGTGTACCATGAATACTAGGTGATGCTAATGAAGCTGGATAAGGCCCATAGCGGAGGAAGGTTTGCCAGGCTCAACCCCTGCATCTCTCCAACAGCATTTTATATGTGGCACTGACATTCACTGTAAGACATCTAGGGATATAATAATACTGGCAAAAGTGTCCTTTATGATATTATAGCAAACTTCTACAGGGTTACTTTGTAGAGCAAATATGACCATACCATACCAACTTCATTTATAAAGTACTTTAAAACCTTTACAGCAGGCCAAAGTGCTGTACACAACGTGGGATAGATAATGACAATCACAGTACAAGACAATACACAATGCAAACACAATACTATTACTTAAAACATAGAAGACAGTAAGATACTCAACAACAAGAAATGCACATGTTAATTGTTAAAAGCCAGTGAAAAAAGGTGCATTTTTAGGAGTGATTTAAAAACAGATACAGACTCCGCCCATCTAATCTCTAATGGCAACTGGTTCCAGAGCTGCGGGGCAGCAACAGAAAGAATATGACATTAAAACATTAAAACTTATTTTAGAGACAAAGTAGCTTGGATTTCTTGTTACTTTTCATTCAGTTTTACTTGAATATTTCTAGTCTGCATTTTTAGGGGATCATTGGAGATTGTAACAGGTCATATTCAGGACAGTGTGTGGATGGAGAAGGTCTGGGCACTTGTTGACATTGTTGCGCTGTTGAATAAAATCTGATTTGCACTGTTACTTCACACTTTTTGTATGTTCTTTTAGTTATTCTTGCTTGTTAATACTATGTGCTCAGCATGTTAGCATGGTCACCTCGTGGGAAACCATTAAAGTGTTTGTGTTTTTGTGCAGTTCCAGTACACTCGGCCTGTTGTTCTTTCTAACTTTTCTGAGCTCACGCCCTCCCCATGGCCCAGCAGTTAAAAGGTTGATTGAAAGTTATGGTGGCAGCAGAGATGGCTGGCTGGGCGCACAGAAAGCCCGGCCAAGAGCAATGCTGCTGGGGTAACGAGCTCTGAATGAGCTCTCCACAGTTCCTGTTTCCACTGGCTCTTTGCGCCTCTCTGTTCACCTCCGATGGGCTTCAATGGGACCCCACATGGCTCTTGGCTTCTTCACTTCCACTTTGTTTTTCATTAGTAATTCTCGTGAGTGACCTCAGACATTCTTTGCTTTGTGCCCATTGACTGAGCTCCGAAAAAGTGTGTCCAGGGCAAAGGCCAGTCCCCCAGTGTCAAAAGAGGAGCTTTCACTTCAACTGTATGGGCTGTCATCGTGGAATTTCTGCTCTTTCTGAGAAATCACTCAGAGACTGAATGTGTAATGAATGGAAAAAGTATGTTGTGGAGGCGTGGAGCTGGAGGAAAATCCTCTCTGGAGCACAGGGGCTAATCAGTCATATTTTACAGGGACCTTCTCCCAGACAGGCTGCACCCGGCACCAGGTTGATGGGATTTCCTTATGGACACACACAGCCCTGGTCTGGCCTTGGGTCTGTGTGTGAGTCATAACAAACATATTGGGCTTGTCCATCACCATCAGTCACAGAACCACACAGTGTTCTGGTATAGACTGCAGATATTCTGTTCATTCATATAAACAAAGCTGAGGACTTTGGACGACTGGTCTTCCTCTGGTCTGTTCACTGTGTGTGGATGACTTGGATGTTATTGAGTTATTCATCTTCATACAAATTTATTTATAAAGCACTTTAAGAACTATTAAAAACAGTTGGCTGAAGTGCTATACAACATTGTAAAAACAGTGGCACACTTGGAAAGGTCATCTGGGTGCTGCATATAGTGTACATTACAATAGACAAAATCTCAGTGGTAAAAGTCAATGACAAAACCATAAATCAAGGTGTGATATAAATATTAATAGTTAGAAAGTTTATTTATTTGATGAATTACAGTATCACAAACTGATTTAAAATGTGCACAGGATTGTACTGTGTTGTTGAGAAATAGTATTTCTATTTTATTAAAGTTGTACATAAAACTATTTTTTAAATGATACATATGTTTTGTCATGCATTATTCATTATCACAATGTTACAGTATTGTGCTCAAGTATGAAAGACGTTATCATCCTATTACATTATGGATTATACCCTGTGCCTCCAACTCTGGTTGTAAATCATTTATCATGTCACCATCTCTACTCTGGTGAGAAACATACTGACTCATGTTGTTGTATGGGACACACTATGGACGTGTATTACCCACACATCTGTACTGACAGGAACATGTCAGCATCTAATTTGGTGTGATATGTTTGTTTGCAGAGCCCAGACCTTTGACATGCTCTGGCCCTGACCTCTCTTGGTGGTCCTGACCCCAGAGCAGAAGAATAAATAATCACGTGTTAGAGGTGATGTGCACGAGCCATGTAGGCGTGCTGAAATACCGGGCAACAAAAAGTCTAAAGATGATGCGTCAAAGATTTTGGTCTTTCATTCTGGTCTTTTTTTCTCCAAGGCAAATCTATCGCACCATTGTAATGCAGTGAAGTTTGGAGTTGGTGATGGTGTTTATGGTTGGAGAATGCCTTCAGTCCACACTAGGATAAAAACTGATACTAATCTAAAGTATCAATATTGACAAAACAAATCTGAT